CCCCAGAAAACACACACACACACACACACACACACACACACACACACACACACACACACACACACACACACACACACACACACACACACACACACACCCCGTACCTGTGAATGGAATCTGTGCAGAAGAGCTACTTCATCTCTTGCTAGGCTCACATCGGAAGGAGCCGGACTGTAGCATGGAAATCCAGCTAGGATCTCTTCTCTTTTGCTGGCAGTGACATTGTCGAACTCTGGGTAATGGTCGACAGATGCAAACTCGCTCGCTGCACATTCATAATAGGTTCCTCGTAGCAAGGTCACCGCCAGCCACGTTAATGGAGCCACGAGCGCCCTCCCAGTGATGCTGAAGCACTGAAGGCAAGCCAGCCTTTGCTCCAGAGGGCTGATTCTTCGGCATGGAGGGCCACAGTTGCAGCAGTATTCACTGGTTAAGGTCCACGTTTGGCTTCTCAGAGCAAATCCAGCAATCAGAAGGATCAGGGCAGGAAATACAAGAAAAGCGGAGCCATAATAGAAATTTTTCCCTACCTGACAAGGACATGTGAATGTGGAAGAGGAGCAGAGGTGTTGCCCACTGATTGTCAAAGCCACAATCAAAGAATTGATCAATGTTCCACTTCTCTGCAGAGAAGACACAATATTGTTGAGAGATGGGCTCATCCTGAGAGGCTCTGACTCAAATCAGCTGTTGGCCCTTTCTGATCATTAGACTCTACCTGCTGTAACCATTTTATGGGCTCTTACTGGTTTAACTGGTTGTGTCAAGTGACCCAACATCCTTCCATGTTTAAAAGATTCTAGCATCTTTCCTTGTTTACTGTGTCAACACTGAGCTAGTAAATTCACATTAGGTTATAGCTAGAAGAAATTGTTCTTATCTGGTATGAATAAAGAGGGAAACTGTAATAACAATAATAATAAAAAGACCATAGCTTACTTACAAAGCAAACTTCATCTTTCTCCATGGTGCTTTGTACAACACAAAGCACAAAGTACTAACAAATATAGCCCAGGAAGCAAAACTGAGACATTCTCATCTTTGTAGGAAACCATAAAATTACAAGATACAAGATAATGAAAATGATCAAATATAAAAGAAATTCAAAACTTGGGGTTAGCTGGAAGGTCTGTAACCTAAGGATTCTGCCAAAAGATCCCAAAGGATTTTCCAAAAGAGAACAAGTTTAGTTTACCCAAATGTGTAGCTTTAAAAGTGTTAAGTGGCAAATTTGTTTAAGAGGTTAGATACAAATATGATATTTTATTTTAACAAAGATATACATCTATACATAAGAATGAAATGATCAAACATGTAAAGTGTCTTGATATTTATTTGATCAGTCAATAGATACTACATCCCATCTATATGAATTATACTAGACGGGGCTGAGTTTAGACATTGCACAGGCTTGGTTGAGTTTAGACATTTGTCCAACTTTCCATATCTAGTTAAATCTCTCATTAATGAATTGGAACACTGAACTAAGATATCCAAAACTCAATTCGAGAAGAAATAATGTATTTTAAAGGATCCGATAATGGAAATGGAAGACAGATTAAGCAACTCCACAATCTATCTAATAAGAGTTCCCAGAGGATTAAAGGATGAGCAGAGTAGAGTAATAGCTGAGAACAGAATCAAAAGTTCTCACATCAGAAGAATGTCAGTTGTTGTGGGAAGTAAAGTTAAAGCTAAATTTACATCTAGATGTGTCAGTAAACCTACAGAGTGTAAAAAATAGAGCTATCAGAAAGATAACCTTAAAAATAATGACAATAGACCGAAGCAGGCTTTTCATCAGTAATAATATAGACTAGAAGACAGTATCATCATTGGAGAAAAAAACAAAAGAAAAAATCACAAAAAGTAAGGGAATTTATTTCCCATAGAACCTCATTTAAAATGTTGCTAAGGCATATTCTTCAGTAAAGACTAATGAACTCAAGGAAAGACATGAGATCAAAAGGTAATGACAGCAATCTGATACTTCAAGTCATTATGTAGTTGTTAACTATGGAAACAATTTTTTTTATTTCTAATGATATAAATAAGGCAATCCATTTCCACTGAAGGGCTTACATTTAAAATTAGCCAGATATTGATAGAATGTAGAACAACATTTTCATACACTGGTGGTGGGAATGTCAACTGAGACAACATCCTTTGGAAAATTGTCATTTTTTTTATAAAAGCTAATCATATATCTGCCATGGGATCTAGTCATTCATCTCCTGGTTGTTTATATCAGAGAATCAAAGCAAGTGTCTACATGAAAACTTGTACCTAAATATCCAAACAAAAATTCTTCATAATAACTATAAATAAGAAATAATCCAATGTCTATCACTAGATGAATGAATCAACAAATTATTATATTTTCACACACTAGAATGAAATGTAATGAATGAATTACATAGATTACATAATAAATTAAGAATAATTGGGATTGAAATAATTCAGAAAGGGAAATGCACATTGTACAATTATATGTATATACAATTCTATAGAGCATAATCTGTTCTGATAGAAAGCAGACCAATGCTTGCTGGGATGACAAAGAAACATGAGAAAACTCCTGGGTAATTCATCAATTATGCACGCAGGATTTGAATTTATGAAAATAATGGCAAAGGGTAATGCCTTTGAAAGAAGAATTTATTAGTTATCTTTCCTCAAGACTTAGGGGTCAAGCCAGGCTATGTGGGTCATATGAGGAAACATGGGGTTCAACCAGGAGACATGGAAGGAAGAGAGAGCCAGCGCTAAAGCCTTTGTTGGAGTGTCAACCAGAAAGGAAATACAAGGCAGGAGAAACATTTGGGATTGTAAGTAATTCTAGGTAAGTAATTCTAATCTGCTCTGGCGAGTAGATACTGTCTGTTTGTGCCTGCAATCTGGCTATGGGCTGATTTAGGGAAGAGAAATATTGGATCAGTATGTTAAATTTAGATAGAATGTTCAGTATAAGGGCTTTGGACCAGAGGGGAGAAATTAATAACTTGGCTATTATTTGTTCCTGTAGTGGATGGATGCCAAATGACATGTTATTGAGAAAACATGAACAGACTAACAGAAATATGAATTATATATGTATATATATATCAGTTCATCAAACTACACATCAAGTTCATCACCATAAAACCATAGAAAATTGAAGTATAATGACTAAAAGAATAGACAGACAACATAAAGATTACTCAAAAATAGAGGAAACAGGGCTGGGAAGGTGGCTCAGTGGTAGAGCTCCTGCCTTGCATGCATGAGGCCCTGAGTTCAATTCCTCAGCACCACATAAGCAAAAAAGAAAAAAGCCGGAAGTGGTGCTGTGGCTCAAGTGGTGGCCTTGAGCCAAAGAGCTGAGGGACAGCGCCCAAACCCAGAGTTCAGGCCCCACGACCAGACCCACCCCCAAAAACAATAGAGGAAACAAAAGGTAATATCAGGAAAGGAGACAGTAAACAACCTGAAAAGGATGGTAGAGAAAAAAATGAAGCAACGCAGGAGAGGAGACCAGATAGGTCAACAGTCATAGGAAGAATTGTAAATAACAATTACTTCACACTGACTCCATGCTACTTGCCTTTCTTAAAGAAAGTTATTTCCTTTAATCCTCAATAAGAGCATAATGTGCTACTAACAGTTACCTCAGTGTTTTTACAGATGAGAAGACCTGAGTGTAAAGAAATTAAGGAAATTTCATAAGGTCCCATTTCAGTAATGGAAGAAGCAAAAGAGAATCAGATGACCTGATATACACTTTACGCACCTCAACCTAAGCTGACTTAAACTCACCCACAAAGTGATTTAAAAACAGTCATATTGCTTCTAAGTATCACTCTCAAAACTGTACCACATAGAAAGCTTAACAACAATGGTATTTAAATGGAGATCACTGAGTCAATAGGATTAATAAATGCAAAGCTGAACTAAAGGCAAAAAATTTTGAAAGGGTAATTTTGAGCACCCTATCATAATAAAAGCAGCAATCCATTATAAGTATAAGGCAATGTCAGCTTGTATGTCTCCACCTGTATAAGTTTGAACAAACAAAGCAAAAGAGGCTCAAGACATAAGGAGAATTCTTACCATTCAAACTGTTAAGTACCATTATCAGAAATGAGTTGATAAAGTAAAAACATTGCAAAGGAAACAAAAGAGGCAAAAAAATAAGCTTTCAAGAATAGAATATATATATATATATATATATATATATATACCCTAAAATAGAGAATAGAGAAAAATAGAAAACAATAGAAAAATAGAGAAGAGAATAAGTTTTTTTATAAATCAATTATACATGCAGGATTCGAATTTATGAAAGTAATGACAAAGAAATGGTAATGCCTTTGAAAGAAGAATCTATTAGTTATCTTTCCTCAAGACTTAGGGGTCAAGCCAGGCAGATGGGGTATTATGAGGAAACATCAGGTTCAGCCAGGAGACAGAGAAGGAGGAGAAAGCTAAGGCTAAAGCCTTTATTGGGGGTATCTACTGGAAAGGAAATATGAGGCAGGAGAAATAGGTAAATAATTCTAATGGGCTGTAGCCATTTTGGAACTGATTACAAAGCAAATGTCAGCCTTAATGTCCAATAGTAAGGGAATACATTAATGAACTCTGACGAAAGAATGTCACAGAGGCGAGGTCTGCAATCTCTGGCTTATGGAACAAATTGCCCCATGAGAGGCTGAAGATGGTGTAGAATAGTTCAGCTGTTTTAGCCTAGCTTTATTGCTTGCTTTATATCGCTTATCAGCTAAGAATAGTTTTTATAACTTTAAATCGTGGGAAAAATTTAAATAATATGAGATATGTGAAAATTACATGACACCCAAATTTGTAAATAAGGTTTTATTGGTGATAGACTATATGCACTATGACTTATCATGTCATTGGTCAATTTCGTTGGCTACAAAACATAAATTATTCACTATTTGGTCACTCACAACAAAGTTTCATTGACTTTTGCTATCAAACTGTGAGAATAAATTATACTCAAATGAAAATCAAGACGTAATAGAGACATCTGCACACTCATGTTTATTGCAGCATTATTCACAGTAGCCCAGCTATGGAAACATTTCAGATGCTCTGCATCAGGATCAAGAAAACGCAGTAGACACCAACATACACTAACACACACACACACACACACACACACACACACACACACACAATGGAATTTTATTAACACTCAGGAAGAATGAAAATAGGCCATTTACAGAGAAATGGATGATCTAGAAAAAATATTAAGTAAAGTAAGTCAGGTTCGGACAAAGGGTGCATGTTTCATGTTTTCTCAGATAGATAGACAGACAGACAGACAGATAGATAGACAATTCCCCTCATGTGAGCACTCTGTTCGCTTCCCATCCTCTTCTCTCCCAGTGAGGTCAACCAAACTGACTAAAGTATAGTATCTATAGGAATGAGATTCCATGGTGTAACATCTTTGAACAATTAACAGGCTGTTAAAATTAAGAGAATATTAGAAAAATAAAACATGTCTTGACCCAAGGTAGGTGTTAGTGGTAGGAGGCTGGACAAACAAAGAGAGGGAAGGTGGATGAATATGGTCATAAAATTCAATGTATGTATGTGAACAAGGATGAGACTGGTGTGGGAAGGGAGAAGTAGGAGGAAGGGAATGATGGAAGGGTAACAGATCGAAACCCCTTTGTACCACTATTTGAAGGTAATTTTTTAAAGTGAATTAAAAAAAGAAATGATCTACAGTGGCATATATATACAGGGATACAAATAAATTTAGTGAATAACTTCAATCAAAACAGTCACACATTAGGAAATGTGCAGTATGATACTATTGCGTTAAGTACTATTCATGTTTTTATGAACAGTAATGTAGGCAGAGAATTTTCTGTTTACTATTCTTACCATGCATAGGAATAGCAAATATCAAGGTCTGGGAAGGACATGTCTGAGAAGGACATGAAAATTTAAACTAGAGATGGCCGCAGGATGGTTTTTCTGTTTCAGCCCTGTTTTATTGCTTAAAATAAAGCCTGAAGTGAATGCAGCATTCACTTTACATTCTGTAAATTCTGATAGTAAGTACCACATCCATCCTTATGCTTGCAATTTGATATTTTTCAAGCTATTAATTAGGATTGGAAATGAAAAAGTAGGGAAGGAAGTTCTAGATCATTCTTCTGGCAACTACATAGGAAAGGATGGAAGCATTGACTACATAAATTCTAGTATGGGATTGTTAAATGATTGCTGTAAAGGAATTTATTGGTGACAAAATTTTAAGTATTTATTTTGTATCCTGTAAAGAATCACTTCATCTTCAGTACCCGTGTACAGCTTGCCAATGACTTATTACTTCTGTGAGTCATGTTTTCTTTTGTGCTTCATCATAGTCTTTCTGTGGTACTATTAAAAAAATACCCAAAGCTAGATGATTTATAAAAAACAGAAATTTACCTCTTATCATTCTGGAAGCTTGGAAATCCAAGATCAACAATTGGTGTGTGGTAAGGGCTAGTCTATTCTCCAAGAAAGCACCTTGAAGGCAAGGGAGAGAGAGATAAAAGAGTCCTGGATGAGTTTCCTCCAGCTCTTTTATAAGGCTGTGCCTTCAAGGCTTAAACACATTTCAAAAGGTCTCATCTTGTAATTTACCACTGGTGTGGGGGGTGGTGTAGATGGTAAATTTCAATACAAGAATTTCAGAAGACATTCAGACAATAGCAGGCTTTATAGCCAAATTGTCTTTCTGTTAAAGGGAGTTTCCTGTTATGTTGTGCTCCTCAGGGACCCCACCAACCCAAGTCCATTCTCAGCACAAACTAGCATCTGCATAAAGAAAACAGTATCTTGAGCACTGCACTACCTTAGGGGCACAGAGTAATCCATACACATATATAAGGAAATCAGATGGACACAAACACAAAAATCAGGCTTTCTTTTAGCAAGGAAAGAGTTAATTAAAGGAAGAGGAGGACGAGGTGGAGGAGGAGGAGGAGGAAGAAGAGGAGAAAGAGGAAGAAGAAGAAGAAGAAGAAGAAGAAGAAGAAGAAGAAGAAGAAGAAGAAGAAGAAGAAGAAGAAGAAGAAGAAGAGGAAAGAGGAAGAGGAAAGAGGAAGAAGAAGAGGAGGAGGAGAAGGAGGAGGAGGGGGAGGAGGGGAGGGGGAGGAGGAGGAGGAAACAAGCCTCTGCACAGATAGTGTAGTGGCTAGAAGTGGCTGTTGTCTGTCAGCATCATCCCAAGTCTACTTGCATGTCCAGGTTCCTCTGTGAGGACCTCCACGGAGACAGGGGCTTGATCATTGTTCATTTGGTGTGGCAACTACAGAACAAATTTGTGAGCTTAAAGAATGCTTCTTTTCCAAGGAGGAGGCAACAATGCTTGATAAGAAATGTACTCATTATCTTGCCCATGTAATTGTAACCCCTCTGTACAGTATTTTCACAATAAAAAATTTTTAGATAAAAACATCTTTATCTAGAATTGGCACAAATACATCAGAAAAAAAAAGAAATGAACTATACAACCTGTGGCTGGGGATGGGAGGGAAAAACTGGGAAAAGGCGAAGAAAGGAGTGACATTGTCCAAAAAGAAATGTACTCATGACCCGACTTATGTAACTGTAACCCCTCTGTACATCACCTTTACAGTACTAACAACAACAACAAAGACACACAATTGACTAAATTTTGTGGTCATGAAGCTAGGTGTGTTTATTTTCTGCTGAGGTTACCGGCAACTTTACCACAGGCTGAAAATAAATCTTCTTTATGAGGCCTCCATCAAAAATAAGAAACTCAATAGGTTTTAAAGATTAAAAAAATGCTTCTTTCTTCCAACTCTAGTTCCAAAATGAGTCCTAACTAGCCTAACTAGATCTCTCACTGAAATAACTCTTACTCTTCTGCATTACTTTGAAATAGATCTCCTTCCACCTTTATTGTCAAGGCAGACATGATAATACAGACCATTTACCTGCTTGAAACCTTATCGTGTAGGTCATTTACCTGCTTTCTTTCCTGAAGTGAGGGGTGATTTTACATAGAAACAAGGATTCTGGGGGACATAAAGCTCACAGATTCTAAGAGGTACTGAGAGCCATAGTTTTCACTGTATAAAATGAGTAAGTATAAAATGAGTATCCTAGGGATAATCACTCAGGCTGTGCCTGAGCAGGGACTCCATCCTCCAAGACCTTCATCCCAGCTGGAGCATGGTTGGGGAGGCAGGGAATCTTGTCAGGCTGGAGGAAGATTGCATCCATGATATCCCGAATTCTCAAAGTATTGCTGATTTGACCATACCACAGCCTTTAGAGTTTACTATCTCCTTCTAGTGCCCATCCCCTCTCTCTGAGCATACAGGCCTTTTCTGTGGTTATCAGGCTTTCTTACCCAGCACTCTCAATTTCCCCAAACAGCTCAGAAATGTGCTGTCAACTGCATTTTATTTATTTTATTTTACTTTTTGGTCGTGGGGCCTGAACTCTGGGCCTGGGCACTGTCTTTCAGCTCTTCAGCTCAAGGCTGGTGCTCTACCACTTGAGCCACAGCGCCACTTCTGCCTTTTTCTGCTTAGGTGATGCTGAGGAATCAAACCCAGGGCCTCATGCATGCAAGGCAAGCACTCTACCATGGAGCTACCTTCCCAGCCCCTGCCAACTGCATTTTAGTAGGCTTTGTGAGTCTGCTTCTAAAACACTTTACCACATTTAAAGTAGGATTTTAAAATTTGGAATCAGCAAACTTAGCTCAAATATCTCTTTGTTGCGTAGATATTCTTGAACAAGCATCTTAGTCTTTCTACTTTCATATTCCTATCCTCTGAAATGTCTGTTATTACAGTATATTTACTTCTCAGACAATTCTTGACTTAAGATGAGAAGAAAACGTATGAAAGCCAAATTGTCAACTATAAAGGTTATATAAGTATAAGTTTTTATTAATCTGCCATTGAAAAGTCTCATTTTCCTGAGAGCATGGCGCCAATGGACCATGGCACTGATAGGAATACCTTCAATTTTGTAGAATTTTATTCCAGGTATTCACTTATAAGAATAACCTGTAGCAATTAGTTTTTATGCAGTGCATTACAATGTGTTTTATAGAACATATCATCTCTTTGATAGCCACAATTATTCTGTGAGGTGGGTATTACTACTGCCATTTTCCAGATGCAGAAACTGAGCCACAGAGCAATAAAGAGGCTTACCTAAGGCCACACCACCAGTAATGAGAAGAAGTACAGCTTAACCTAAGCTTTCTAATTCCTCCCAAGCTCTTTCAACTATGTCACATTCTTCTTCAAAATAATCACTCATCTGACACTTTACAGGAAAAAGGTTTCAGAGCAAGTAAGACAATTGTCTCAAGCTGCCAAAAGTAAGAAATTACTTTCCTAAACTGAGTTTAATGCTTCTATTTCTGAAATGGCTTTGATCCTGCAGTTGTCAAGATGAGATTTCTTGTTTAAACTTTAAATATCCATACTTCTGCATAAATAAACAGAACCTTCAATAGCTCAGGAACTATCAAAGGAAAGCTAAGGGCTTATATTTCTCTGCCAGAATCATTATACATTATTAAACTATAGAGCACCCATACAGAGCAACAGTTCTGTAAAAGCAACAATTCACCCATTTATCACTCCTTAAAATGACTGATTGCTATTTATGAAGAAGAAGAAAATAACAGATACATTTGAGTATTGTAATCTCACAGATGGAGGTCTGCGTGCTGAGGTCAATGTGATATCCATTTACACTGTTGACCAGGTTTGAACCCAGGATTTACTACCCCCAGATTGCTGATCCTGTCTCTCTTATTCGTACAACAATCGATACAAGACTGAATAATGCTAACATTGAGATCTATCTTGGATTGTGAGGGTTTCTGTTTGTGATTTTAGAACAATGCATTGGCATGAGAACAAAACACCACTCTTGAATTCCCTGGGGCTAAAGAATTTTTAGTGTTTCTCCTCTGACTTCACACTATCAGCTTTCATGGGTCTGGATTCCATCTCATCCCCACAAGTGGAGCAGTTATTCTATCAGTGCAGGTTGCGTTAGGGACCAGACAGTCCCTTGTCCATGATGTTCGGTCTCCTTTTCCACAGAGAGCAGAAGCTGTAGAGTGCGAAAGTCACACTCGTGTCTCAAAGCCAGGAGGAACTGGCAAAAGCAAAGGAAAAGGAGAAAGGGACGGAAGCACTTGTGAGACAGAAGAAAAGAGACTGAAGACCACACCCTTCACCAAGTGCCATGTCTCGTCGCACACCCAGAAGACCAGAATACCGTAAAATTGTAAGGTCTTTTATAAAGAAGTCTTTTTTTTTCTACTTTGTAGGAAATGTTTTGAGTGATTTGTTTTTTCCCAATGTATTTTGGAAAGTGATGCTACAAGTAGAATGTTTCAGTGGGGCAAAGAGTAGGTTTTGGTGGGGATTACCAATGGCACCTCTGGGGATAGGCACAATTACCTCTCACAACTGTAACAGAATAATCAATTCTTGGTAAAAATTTCAAGGACCACTTTTCTGAGTAATTACATACATAAAGGTGTCATTTTTCCTTTTGTCTCCCACAGAAAATATGAAAACATGAGGCAATCCTTCACCTTCCATGTGCAAGGAGTAGGAAATGAAATGTATAGAATCAACTATGTGACAAATTAAATAGGAATAAGATTGTCAACGTTATCTAAAGATTGTGACGACAATATATTTTCTAGTCTTCTTTGTATTCATAGCGTCTGTACTATTATCTTTCCTAAATATTCCAAATTAAGAGTTATTTAAAAATTTTAACTTTTCCACAGATTCAGTTTATTTTAACCTCTTATGATCATTTTAACCATTTAGATGTTGCATATGTAAATCATGCTTCATTTTAAAGCCATATTAATTATTTCAGGAGGCTGCTGGGCATTTGGTATAATTAAGTAATTTCAGCCTTGGGTAGTTCAGACTTGGTAATTAGTTGGCACACTCTGGTTGGAAACACCTACAGACACTTCTTCTCTCTAGCATTCTGGAACCGTGATTGTTTTCTAAGGGGCTCTCAAATGCTAAACCATAGAGCATATAGTTCATACAGTAGCTAAGTGACTTAATTATGCATTTAACAAAGTCTTTTTATCCTGATACATCCAAAATCTCTGCAAATAGTAGTACTTTTTTCATATCTGAAAGTGATGGCTTTTTATTGTTTTGAAAATCTAAGAGATAATTTCAAGTTTATATTTCTTGGAATTTGAGACCCAAATGGATATGTAGTTTGAGGTACAACCTGTGGTTGTGAGGCTGAATGGAGAAAATGGACTTTTATGGATAAAAAACTTGAATGTTTAAAAATACAGTAGTATATTGAGAGACAGAGATAGAGAAGAGGGTAAGAGATAGAAATAAAGGGGGGATGAGAAGAGAGAGAGACTATTTGTGTGGCCTAAATTACAAATGGGCACAATGATGAAGCTATGTTGTGTAGATAGAAAACCATTTTTCTCATTTCCTTTTATGAAACTTGTACCGCTACTGTTAACAAATTTTTCTCTCTTTCTGTCTGTCTCTATCTGTCTTTCTCTCTCTTTCAGCTTGGCTTTTTTTTTATGCTGTACTGTTGACACATAGCAGCACTATATTTTCTGCAGTGGCTCCTTTACATTAGATAGGTATCTATTTGTAATGTATAAGCATTTCTTGCAATAATAGGATTAAGTTCTCAGAAAGTTTAAGAACAGAAAAAAATTGAATACTGATGACCCTTAAAATTGTTTAATAATACGTTGTTCATATGACTTACGTCCTTTATTTCCCACTAAAAGCATTACCATACTCATTTTTCTATGCCTTAATTACATATATTACCTATCAATTGATAATATGAATGAATATATAAGTATTAATAAGCATCTATGACATTTTGGTTTATATTTTTCACATGAATTATCTCCCTATGGGCCAAATAATATTTAGATTCTGTTTCCTTAGAGTTATATAGTGATAATAAATACTTTACCTTACTGTAATAGAATATTTGTCATCATATAAATCCATGCCAAGAAAGAGGACACTGGTAGCATTGGATCAACTTCAGAAATATTTGCATCAAAATAGTGTAACACATTATAGAAACCACTTTGTTAGTCAAGAAATTGATCAGAGTTGGGCTGGGAAGGTGGCTCAGTGGTAGAGCGCTTGCCTTGCATGCCTGAGGCCCTGGGTTCGATTCCTCAGCACCACATAAGCAGAAGAAGGTGGAAGTGGTGTTGTGGCTCAAGTGGTAAAATGCTAGCCTTGAGCTGAAGAGCTGAGGGACAGCGCCCAGGCCCAGAGTTCAGGCCCCATGACCAGACCCCTCCCTCCCCAAAAAAGAAATTGATCAGAGTTAAAAAAAAAAACATTCCCATGCTTTAAATATCCACACATTATGAGACCCTCTTCCCTTATGAATGAAATAGTCCAAGATACCTGGCCTTAGAGACAGGGAGGGAAGCCTTTTGCAATCTGAAACCCACATATGGCCTTGGGTGGAAGTGCAGGAGCATGTGAGAAATAAGGCTATTTCCGAGGAAGGAGACCTGCCTCAGTCTCCTGCTCACTTTTTTCTCCAGGCAGAATAGTGCCTTCACATACTTAGTGAGAAGTGCTGTGTCAGGGTAGAGGCCTGGAGCCTTGACTGGAAATTCTGGCTCTGGCCATGCATTGCTGGTTATTTTGGGCAATTTCCTCCATCCTTGTGAAACCTCATTCTCTCTTCTGTTGAGTGACAGAACTGGAAAAATCAGTTTAAGAGAAAAAAGATTTTTATGCAGGGTCTTGCTATACATCCCAGGCTAGCCTTGAACTCATGACTGTCCTGCCTCACCTTCACAAGTGTTGGCACTACACCTAGCCCTGTCCTTTTCTTACTTACGTACTATTCGGTAGCAGAACCAAAAGACAGAGATTTTTTTCCAAAATAGATCGATCTTTATTTTCTGTTTCCCACATGTTCAAACTGTCTCTGCCAAATGAGAACTAAATTAACCTCAGTTTTGGTTTTGATTTGAAGTTCACCTAAAAATAAAACATATTTCAGAGATCCTCTTTTTTTCTTTAAATAAGAAGAAAAAAAGTCCATGAACTTGCTCCTGAATTTGAAATTATCCTAAGACTCTTGGGCAGATCTGAAACTCATTGGGGATTATGCAAACTCATGGAAAGTCCAGCTTCCTTATCCCTTCCAGATGAAAGCAGTAGAAACCAAAGGCCATTCCAGAGCAACTGGAAATAGTCTTCAAAATTAGTAATTAAAAAAAATCCTCCATGAAAATACATGATAAATTATATAATTTAAGTGAACGCATAGAAAGGTTACCTCATATCTAGAAAATAGCTCTTTTCCTCAGCCTCAGCAACAAAGCCAAATTTAAGTACGGTCTCAAAGGTGACATTTGTTGACATAATAGGAAAGTAGAAAAATGGAAAAATAAACAGATGCTTGCATAAAAACCCATCTACCTACCACCAAAAACCATCTTTTTTTTTCCCCACCAGAACAAAGACCTCTTTGTCCTCACCTACGGAGCTCTGGTGGCCCAGTTGTGTAAAGACTATGAAAAGGATGAGGATGTAAACGCATACTTAGATAAGATGTGAGTAAAAGGCTCTCACCTTTGTGGAATATTCATTGCTTCTTAGCATTATATACTTTTTTTTCTGCCTCTAACAGCTTGCTCTATGGTTACAATGAACCACATCTGGAAGATGAATTTAATTTCTTCTCCTGACACTTGGGCTGATATTATGAAATCATAAGTATTTCCTCAGGCATCTCAACTGTGAAATGCCTTTATTTGAGTTAGAAATCATTTCCTTTTTGGCCTCTTATACTCAGAAGATGTGGCAAGACTGAATTCTTCTTTTAGTGATATGCTGGAACATCAAATTTAATTCTTTTCTTCAGTTTTCCCCCTTAATATAACATTATAATATAAAAACTTGCCTTCATCACAATAGAAAACCTAGCAAGTATGTGCAAATGCTAACGGGAGTTGTCCAAGAACAAAACCAAACCATGAAGAATTATAGGTTGGAGATTTTTCTTTTTTTTTATTGCTTGGATGTTTTTACCATTACTGTAATTGACTTGGAAATACATTAAATAGAAAACCTTATTTTTTTAAAAAAATGAAGCACATTCCTGTATTAATGAAGATTGCTTCGTGCCCAAATTTAACCTTCTAAATTCTTCCAAATAATTATATAATCATCATCTTAATGCCAAATAATAAAATCTGTCAACATTTTTTAACTCTCAATTAAGGACTATGAAAAAATTGCAACAGAGAAATATCTGGAAAATATGTTAGAGATGTCTTAGGCTGGTGAAAGAGGAAATTAAGCCTAGCATTTTAGACTTTAAAAAAGATTTCATTGTGTTTTCCCTTAGAACACAGAAAAAGGTTACATTAAGAGGAAAAACTTGAAAGGTTTTTTGTCTTTAACTTTTTTTCTTTCCTTTTTATGTACTATTCTCTTTATTCATGTTGGAAAATTCCTTTCGAGTTTTGGTACATATGCTTATTTTCTTTTCTAATTTTAATGTTTGCATGTCTTCTAGATTAGACAGGTGCATTCCTGTAAAAGCCAACTACCACCCACCTAAGACTTGCCTCACTCACTTCTTCAGACGAATCTGGTGCAGCTGATAAAGCTGTTCTATGTTTTGGTCACATTTAAACATCTAATGTAGCACTATCAGAAGTGACTTTGGTTTATTTGATTTCTATTAAATTTGCCTTGTTTGATAAAAGAGCTGTAGAAAATGAACAAGAACATTTACTTGACTAAAAATATATTTGTCTAGTTGAATGCAGATGTTAATAAATACAAATAAGGTATTAGTTAAAAATAAACTGATTAATAGCTTCCAACAATGTGAAATAAATATTTATATTCATTAATATCTTTCGACAATGCTTTTTTGTTCATTCAAAATTTCATCATAAATACTGTATTTGTTTTGGTGCTCTAGTAAATGGAATTGACTTATAATTGCATGTCATATTGTTTATTGCTACTGTGAATACAATAGATTTTTGCATGTTGATATTATATCCTACAGCCTTGTTGAACTGTTTTACTAGTTCTAATCATATAGTATATAGATACATTTTCTCTATACAAGATCGTTTCATTTACAAATGAAATAATTTTTTATCCTATTTAATAAATAAATAATATTTGAAAGACAGCAGGGAGGCTTGGTCTTAAGAAAAAATTTCCCATTTGACTTTCTTTAATAGATTTTGAAAGCATCTTACATTTTTGATTTGGCATATTAGTAACTGCTTTGTAGAAACCTTTGACTAGAACAAGAAATACACAATGCTGCCCTGTGTATAATTCCCTGACTTCCATCGCTCTTCTCACGGGCTGAATCTATGGTTATCTATCATGATGATTAGAAAACATGGAAATGGCCATGCGTGATGGTTCAGGATTATAATCCCAGCACCTTGGAGGATGAATTCAAAGGATTATGAGTTCAAGGACCAGCTGGGCTACATGGTAATGTCAAAGCCAATCTGGGATACATTAAAATATCCTGGTTCAAAAATCAAAAGAAAGGGAGGAAGGGAGGAAGGAAGGAAAGAAAGGAGGGAGCAAGCGAGGGAAGGAAGGAAATTATAAAATTGACTGGGTGTGTTGCTTTCTGTGGACTATGGGACACTATGAAGCCCATTGCCAAAGGCCAGTTGACTTGTCAACATTTGGTTTGTGCAGACCACGTTATTTTTTCCCATCATCTACAGGGGTTATGGCATTGGGACACGGCTGGTGGAAGACTTTTTGGCTCGTTCCTGTGTGAGAAGATGCCATAGTTACTCAGAAATTGCCGACATAATTGCTCAGGTAAATGTATTTCTTTTTCTCACTGTAAATTTTTATTGGTTGCTTCTGATGTTGGGGTTCAGATCTGCAGCCTCGTGCATATGTTGTAAATGCTCTGCTGCTGAGCTACATCCCTAACTCTGTCAAAGAAGCTTTGATTCTTTCTGAGTTTGGTGGTTTTCTGTTCTAGTTGGACAAGTTCCATGTATATACATTTCTAGGTGCTGATAGAAGGGATTCTGATTAAGAAGCATTTTATTTCCCCACAGAGAAAAAGCTATCATAAGCTGAAAGAAAAATGCTTCCAGGCACTTATGCATCTATAGATTTTCTCAACTGCACTGTGTGTGTGTGTGTGTGTGTGTGTCAAAGTGAGACAAGTATCTTGTGAAGGCAAATGGTAGGAGAATAAAATAGATAATCTCAAAGTCCCAATTATACTCCAGTTTTCTTACGTAGCCTTTGCCAGCAAGTAAAGAAGATAGTCTTTGGCAATGTTATAGACTATTGTTATAATTCTACCCAGAGGAATGCTTTTTTTAGAGAAAAATCAAGTTTCCCATAGATGCATGTGCTGTAAGAACAAACACCGTCCTGATGTGTGGAAGACAAGTTGGAATTGTCTGAGACTAGCTCCATTTTCTTAAAAATAAAATTGTGAAGTTCATCTTTAGCCGGTATTCCTTGGATCTTCAGGCCTATGGTTATTAACTAAGCAATGCTACTTTGTGGGGGACTCAGAAAGCACCCATACATAGGAAATATTTAGGGGGTCCTGGTATACTGCCCCAACATTCATACAACTTACCTAGTAAATCAGTCTCATTCCTATTTCCTCTTCTAATCCTTGATATTGTTAGACATAACCGAACTTGACTCTTCTCATGAGTGTCTGCAACACTACCATAGGTGCTCTGTGATTCTTCATGCAGTCTTTTCCTTTTTATCTTTTATGCTTAGTAGCGCTCTGAAATAGACAGACTAGAAGTTTATTATCTCTATTCTCCAAATATGAAGCTATATAGCAGAACGAATATGAGGAAATTAAAAAAATAGTATATTTGAAAAATTATGCATTAAAATGCAATCCACTTACTGAAATGATTACTTTAATTATTTCCTGGTTAGTAAGACATAGACTGAAATTGGAATCATGCAACCTTAACACAGTGAGTTTATCATTTAAGCAGGTTTTTTTTTTAAAAGTCACTTTCCATTTCTATTGGTGGAATATAAACTAGATCCTGAAGAAAAGGATTAAAAGACAAAATAACTTTTCCCTAACCAAAGTCTATAAGAATACTAGTCATTTTAGTGGAAAGTAAATAGAGTAAAAATATAAATGTAGATGATTGTGTTTATTTGTGTTTCTAGTTGGAAGCCCTCTCAGACCTGTTGGTTAGTAAGGCTCATTCTTTCAGTCATGATAATAGTTTGATAATTACTTTCTTGACCTCTGCTCAAATCTATTGTATTGTCTTCATATGAATATATAATGTTAACAATAAAATATGTCTAAGAAGAGCCAAGCCTGCAGATTCTTATGGCAGAATATTGGCTGATAATTTGAGAAAATAATTATACAATGTGAAAGATGAAACTTGTCTCATACATTTAAGGTTGCTTCTTCAGCTTTGGTATTTGAAAAAGAAAATAATTCCAAGGGCAAATTAGAGTCTATTCTAGCAATATGTTAGCAGAATCAGTGAGTTTTCATTTCTTCCTCTGGATATGTTTATACATATATGATATTTTTCCTTAAATAATATAGTCACTCATAGCATTTTGCTTTTTGTTTTTGGTTTGGGTTTGGTTTGGGTTAATTTGGTCTGTTGAGATAGGGTTAATATGTAGCCTAGGCTGGCCTTGAACTTGTGATTCTTCTGCTTTTGCCTCCCTAGTGTTGGAATTACAAGTTTGCTCCACTATGCCCAGCTTCATTTATGTTTAAACAGACATAATTAAGGACAGATTTTAAATTTCTCCTGAATAAAGAGCAATGGACAGTTGGATGTGGAGATATCAAAATCTCATTACTGGAAGTAGCGCTGTGGCTCAAGTGGTAGAACGTTAGTCTTGAGCTGAAAAGCTGAGCCCAGGCCCAGAGTTCAAGCCCCAAGACCGACAAAAAAAAAGGTTAATAATCCAGAGAATACAAAAAGTAAAAAAAAATGAAACAGCAAAACCTCATTTCTGATTTTATTTATATTTATAATTGGTATAATATGTACATATAAAATATATTAATATAATTATAATATATAAATCAGTATAATATACTATATATTATGTGTATTACTAGGTGTTATTCCCTCTTGCATCTGAAGAACAGAACTTACCTGGAATGTGCTCAATACCATACATGCCCTTAGTCCAGAGAATATTGGCTGTTGGTCTGACTGAGCTCTAGTTAGAATAGTACTATCATGTGGATACTCTTCAGTTCTTTGCTGCTGTTATTCTTGATCATGTAAAAGTCCAAATACTGAAGAGCTTCTATGGACTTGAAAGGGATATTTCCACTTATTCATTTAAATCAGAGAAAGAAAGAAAAGCTTAGATTTCTCTGGTAAGATTAAAAACAAAATCAGTAATAAGAAATAACTTTTAGTTAGGTGTGGTAGCTCACACTTGTAATTCCAGAAATTATGAGTCTAAGACAAAAAGATTATGAATCGAAAATCAGCCAGGGCTACACAGTGTCTCAGAAAATTGCCAAGAAAAAACTTTAAAAATCATTATTATCCTCAAAACACCTGCTAACAAATATTCTGTAAAAGGTATTCCCCAGAGGCTGGGAAGGTGGCTCAGTGGTAGACTGCTTACCTTGCATGCATGAGGCCCTGGGTTCGATTCCTCAGCACTACGTAAACAGAAAAGGCTGGGGATGGCACTGTGGCTCAAGTGGTAGACTGCTAACCTTGAGCTGAAGAGCTCAGGTACAGTGCACAGGCCCAGAGATTTCAGACCCCATGACTGACAAAAAAAAAAGTTATTCCCCAAAGATAGGGGCTGGTGGCTCACGCCTCTAAATCCTACCTATTCAGGAAGCTGAGATCTGAGGATCATTATTCAAAGCCAGCCTAGGCAGGGACAGTCTATGAAACTCTTATTCCAATTGAAAGTGACGCTCAAAATGACAGAGTGTCTGCCTTGAGCAAAAGAGCTCAGGGACAGCACTCAGGCTTCAAGTTCAAGCCCCATCTCTCTCTCTCTCTCTCTCTCTCTGTCTCTCTCTTTGTCTCTGTCTCTCTCTCTGTCTCTTTCTCTCTCTCTCTCTCTCTCACACACACACACAAAGGTATTCCCAGGAATAGATAAGATGAGTGGAGGTCTCACATGACATTTCCTTGTCCCGCTGCTCCTCTCTGTCAATACCCTCCGTGTCCTGTCAGCCACGTGAAGAACACACAGTAGATGTAAAAGTGGACATAACAAGGCCAATATTAAACACAGTGAATCTTTCTTTGGGGTCTGACCCAAGTTTTGCTACTTGGTAATATTTAATAAAAACTAATTGAAAGAAAATAAGAAAGTTGAAAAGGAAGAGGGAAGAAAGAACGAGAACTATCTGTTCAAATCCTTTGAGGAGAGAGATTTTTTGATCCCCGGGGGTCCTGAAGATGCTCCCCACTGCCTAACACATTTAAGCGCCCCTTGAGTCCCTTTCAGAGGAACTCTGCAATCCATTTAACAATTTGGTCTTCAGTGGGCAGAAGTAGAAGAGAAGCCCTTTCTATACACCCCATTAAAGAAGGAAAGGATTAAGAAGGACTAATGAGACATGTTGGATGGCGTGTTCAGAGATGATAGGATTTCTATCTCAGCCAGAAAGAAAAGAAAAAAGAAAACCCTATAGAATGTTCCCCATTGCAGAAAGCTATTTTGCTTTTAAAGGAAATAAAGCAGCCCCCAAAGATACCTTAAATTTGATCATTTTAGAAATGAGTCTGTTTGCTATAAAACTGGGGGAAAAAAACCCATGCACTTTATTTGCTTTGCAAATATCCCTTGTCTGAATGGAGTCTGTACGGCCATTGTGACTTAAGTCCATTGCCTCTGCTGTCTTCAGTGAACCGGGAAAAGCTCCACTTCCACTTACGCAAGATCTTTCTTGACAATTAAGAGAACATTTTAGCACCTTTACCCCTGCTCTCCTGTGCAGAGCAATTGTCTCTGGTCTTTGCCCATTTTCTTTAAGGGCTTGATTTTTACTCCTTAATCATCTTCACTTCATAGGAAAAAGAAAAAAAGCTATGTTCGCTTCCATCAGGTCACCAATTTCAGAAGTCTTTTGACCCGGATGAGGGGGTCAGATTTTCGTTATGAACCTGCCCACTGATGCATGGCTTGTAATTAGCAGTGTTCACCCAAAGATCTGGCCTCTGGCAGCATTATCTCATTCATCTTTGTAAGCTCTCTTCAGAGGAAGTAGGGTAAATGATACTGAGTCAGTGTTGGAGAACTAGGGCAGAGTCACCGGAAGTTTAGTCACATGCTGCCCTCAAAACACAGCAGGCAGGAAGAAGGCAGCGGTTGTACTCTGCTGCGCTGTGCTCCTAGACCACGCATGGGCAGTGCACCATTGTCCTTCTCCTCCAAAACCCGGCACCCAACACCCTGGCTCTCACAGAACCCAGGATCTCCAAAGAGAAAGAGAATGCAAAGGAAGAAAATGGACTCAATGAAGACAAGCAATTTCTCAGAGTTAGCAAAAGCCCATCAGAATGAGTGTTCTGATTTACCCTAGGCTCTGCACTTCTTCATCCTTCAAAGAGGAGGAGGATGGTGAGGACTAGAGGATTGTCTCAGTGGTAGAGTACCTGAGCAGGTAGTGCAGCACGTGTGAGCCCTGAGTTCATAACCCTACTACTGCCAAAAGAAAAAGAAAATGGGTGGTGTAGCCTTAAGTATTCTTCTTTCTTTTCTTCTTCTTTTTCCTTATTTTTCTCACTTGCCTTTTCTAAAGAGGTCACTCTAGCACTAAGCATCTGACAAATTCTCTCAGTATGCGCTGGACC